ATCATCTTCAAATAAAGTTTCAGAAAAGTATATTTTATTTTCGAAAATGTTTTTTTTTTTAAAGAGCGATGAAAGACGGCTAAAAATGACGCTAAAATCAGCAGTTTTAGTAATTTTAAAATGTAAACTTCTTCCGCTCAATTTAAATTAGTTTTAAAATCCAGGAAGCGATTCCCAGCTTTGGAAAGTGCCTGAAAACGATATCACGGATTGACCCAAGCCATATGAGTGAAATTGGGTGGACGAACTATTCAGATGCTGTCAATGTTTGTGCTGGCCTTATTCAAACAGGTGAGAGAGAATAAATACGACGTCATATCGTTAGTAAAGTTGTGCCTAAAGTTGTGTTTATTTCTACTCGTGAAGCCAAGTTTGAGCTGAGTTTTAAATTCGTGTTTCAAGACAATCATTTATTTTGATCCGATCTTATATAAATATAAAAAGATGGAATAAAAAAAAAAAGTTATAGCGACATTGAATAACATGTTTAAACATGTTTAAACATGTTTAAACATGTTTAAACATGTTTAACACTTAGTTTATAGCCGAAGAGTCATATTCAGTCGTTTGCAAAACTGAACATACATAAAAAAAAGAAAAGAAATGTCACTTCGGCAATAGGGAAAAATAATGTCAACGCAATTCTATCGTTACGGTGTGAATAATCTCACAATAAATATGACAGGTGAGTTTACTGGGGAAGCAGGACAAATTTAGGAAAAATGTAATGTGGTTACTAACAGATTTTCACTGATTAGAACCGAATAGTACTATAATAGTTATTGAAGTTAGTACAACAATTGTTTATGCCAATTATTATAGAACAAATGTTCTATAATAATATAATGGTTCTGTTTTTGTTTTTTTTTGTAAAAATTTAATTTGTTTTTAATAATTCTCCACCCCCCCCAAATAAGGTGATAAAGCCACCAAGAAGTAACGGATTAATGGATTACTGGGAGTGGAAGAGAATGAGAAGACTTTACTGAAGAGAAGGGACAATAAAAAGAACAGGATTCAGAAAGACAGATGACGATTGACGTTGCATTTACATTTTGAATATTTTAGGCAGTGCTTATAGCTGGCCGCTGGTATTCGAGGATACCCGTCTACTAGGACGTCTATCCAATCCCTATCGCAGACGCTTGATCAGGTACGTTTGTGTTTATTCAACGCCCACAGAGCCCATTTGCGGTTTATACTGCAACTATACTGATACGACCTTAATTACAGTTTCTGGGAAAGTACATGTTACCTAGCGTGATCAACAATTTGAACAAGGCCAGCACGCTCAAGCCCTCGATGAATATATATATAATTTAGACAGTAGAAAGGTAAGAAATGGAAAGGGAGCTCCACAGGTGAGAAGTGTGAGACGAGAAACTATTAGAATAGAACAGTTGCATCTACGCTTTTCTTTTATCTTTTTTTAATCATTTCACCCAAAGCAAGGCGATAATGCCACTAAGACACAAAGGGATACTGGGAATGAAAGAAACTGAAAAGCTTTATGAAGGAACCGGAAAGCCAATCCTAAACAGGAAACAAGGGATAAACTTCTACTTCTGTTCAAAAGACAGGGGTGGTGTGTGAATCGTAGGATAGACGAACCTATTTACTTCTGCTAGCTCTGTCCCATAGTAGTTGTTGCATTTAGTGTAGAAATATTTATGCAAATGTAACATCTATTATGGGACAGTGGTTGTATTGTAATATAATGAAATATCTTTGCCTCATAATAGTTGCTAAATTTAATGCAGAAATATTTATGAAAATATAACAATTACGATGAAACAGGAGTGGAAAGGAGATCTGATTTGAAGCAAAGTATAATATAGTATTTGTGAAACTCCATAATTAATGAAATTGAATGACATTTAGCAAATCTCAATATAAATATTATCTCTCTTTTCCTCTCTTACACACACACACACACACATATACGCACGCGTACTTCAGAAACATCTAGTGAAGATGGCGGACAGTCTATGAGTTCAAATTCTTCAAATTATTTATCAATTTTTTTTTCGATTGGCACAGCAACTTTTCTGACAATTTAGTAAACTTTCTGTTAAATTTAGTTTGTTTTTAATAATTTCACCCTGAAGTAAGGCGATAAAGCCACTAAGAAGCAACTGATTACAGGGAGTGGAAGAGAATGAGAAGGCTTTAGTGAAGAGAAAGGGAAAAAAAAAGAACACGGCACAGAAAAACAGGTTCACACTCCTCCCTAGTCTTTTGAATAAGAGTAGAGATTTATCCCTTGTTTCTTGTTTAGGATTGAGATCCTTATTCCTTCTGAAATCTACTTCAAATCTATACTTTTAACGTCTCCGCCTAGATTCTGACATTTTCTTTGCTATTTTTTTTTTTACCTCAGTAGGTGTAGATAGATTCGCCTATCGCCCGGTTCTCACTCCTCCCTAGCCTTTGGGATAAGAGTAGAGGTTTATCCCTTGTTTCTTGTTTAGGACTGGGATTCTGGTGCCTTCTAAAATCTACTTCAACTCTATATTTCTAACGTCTCCGTCTAGACCCTGAAATTTTATTTGCTGTTTTTTTTTACCTCAGTTGGATTAGATATGTTCGCCCGGTTCACACTCCTTCCTGGCCTTTTGAACAGGAGTAGAGGTTTATCCCTTGTTTCCTGTTTAGGATTTGGTTTCTGGTTGTTTCTGAATACTACTTCAACTCTATATTTCTAACGTTTCGCACCTAAAATTTGAAATGTTATTTATTATTTATTTATTTATTATCTTATGGAATTAACACATTAATTCCATTTATATTTTACGCGCGCGCGAGTTTCCTCCCTTCCTTTCACACTCGTGCGTGTGTGTGCGCGTTTTTCACCCTACCTTCCACACACAGCTAAACATAGCAGTAACCTCAAAATTTAGCCCCTACTGATGGACTCATAACAGATTTTGAATTTTCCCCGCGTTTTTTTTCGGCGTCTCAAAACTGCTAGCGTTTGCAAGCAGTTGCCTCTCGACTTTCGACCCGACTAGATGGGCAGCTCATTTATTCCGTGCCCTGAACCCATATGCGGGCCGGAAATATCTTATTTCAACAATGGCGACCTCACACTTTACCAAGACTTCTTCTCGTCTTGACGTTACCCGCAGGTCAACCAGTTGCTTCCCGACTTTCGACCTGACTAGATGAGCAACTCATTTATTCCGTGCCCTGAACCCATATGCGGGCCGGAATATCTTATTTCTACAATGTCGACTTCACACTTTACCAAGACCTTTTCTCGTCTTGACGTTACCCTAAGGCCAACCAGTTGCCTCTTGACTTTCGACCCGACTAGATGGGCAACTCATTTATTCCGTGCCCTTAACCCATATGCGGGCCGGAATATCTTATTTCAACAATGGCGACTTCACACTCTACCAAGACTTCTTCTCGTCTTGAAGCTGCCCGCAGGTCAGACCTTCTCCGTTTTCTACCAGAAGACGTTAGAGACACACGACACGATCGTGAGCAAAACTTCGTATTCAACTAATGATGGCTTATTTTTATCCCTCGTCAGCGAACCAATAAATACTGACAGGGATATCCTACTGACGAACAACTTGCTAATCGCAGGTCAGACCTTCTCCGTTTTCGACCAGAAGACGTTAGAGACACGACACAGTCGTCGGCAGAAACTTCGTATTCAACAGGTAACCAATAAAAAACCAAATAATTAATTCTGCGTCCTTTTGGCTCGTCATTCAAAAATTCTCCTACGAGACGATGCAACTCAAGTATTGACTTTTCGTCCCTTTTGGCCTAGTCATAAATCTGTTTTGAACCAGTAAAAAAAAAAAAAAAAAAAAAAATATACATAACATTTCACTCACATTAGCAAAAAAAAACTCGCAGTGAGTATTTTTTTCCTTGTATGTATATTATCATGTACATTGATTTATCTGGAACCTTTCTTCTTCTTCAAGAACTTTTTCCCGCCTTTAGCCATCTTGCATTTCTAATTTTGGCGCGGAACATATTCATTGATCCCTACTACGGGATAAGTTACTTGTTTTTCCTGCATTTAATAAAAATTACTCTTGTTTGAATCCAGTCTTTTTCAGTCATTCTGTGCCGGTTATCTTAATATATTTTATTTTATGCACTTGTTGATTGACCCTTTTCCTCTCACTGTTCATTCACGCACATATTTATTTTTTTACATTGCTTGTAGACTCGGTAGTTTAGTGTGGTGTCTGGCACAAGGCCACTTAGTAATAAACCAGCACTGCACGCTGCCGGGTCTGCAACAATCTCAATAAGTGTCGATAGGTTCACACTCCTCCTGATCTTGTTTCCTGTTTAGTATTGGATTTTTGGTTCCTTATAAAGTCTTTTCATTATCTTTCAGTCTCAGTTGCGTCTTAGTGGCATTAACACCTTGCTTGGGGTTAATGAATTGTTTAAAAAACAAAGTAAGTGAATATAACGAACCCAACTGGAATTGGAACTCGGCTCTCCGATTAACAATTCCGAGCCATTATCCATCATACCTCCTGCACACAAAACCTTACAGCACCTAGTATTGTCAAGCGGTCACCCATCCAGGTACTGACCTGGATCGACGTTGCTTAACATTGATTTTTTATTCTGAGTCGTTATCCATTACACTACGCGCACATCCAAGCTTACAGCACCTGGTATTCCAAAGCAGTCACCCATCTAGGTGCTAACCAGGTTAGACGTTGCTTAACTTCGATTTCTCATCCTGAGCCATTATCCATTACACCACCCACACATCCAAGCTTACAGAACCTGGTATTTCAAAGCGGTCACCCATCTAGGTGCTGACCGCGCTCGATGCTTCTTAACTCTGATTTCTCATTCCAAGTCGTTATCCATTACACCATCCGCTCATCGAAGCTTACAGCATCTGGTATTCCAAAGCGATGACCCATCTAGATACTGACCAGGCTCGACGTTGCTTATCTTCGATTTCCCATTCCGAGCCGTTATCCATTACACCACCCGCACACCCATATTTACAGCACCTGGTATTCCAAAGCGGTCACCCATCTAGCTACTGACCAGGCTCGTCGTTGCTTAGCTTCGGTGATCGTACGGGAACCGGTTTCTCAACGTGATATCGCCGTAAACCAGAAAATATGGAGTCTTACTAAACTTACAAATAGTCTGCAAAGTGAGAATAAAAAATCAATTCGTTAATCTATTGTACACAAGACTGGTTTGTTGAATATTGTTCTCTGGCGTGACCGTATTTGAATTTCTGGGGAAAAAGGCTTTCCGTATTTCAATTCTCATTGCTTTTTATACACAGTGTATGGTTCTTGGTTATAATAATTTTCCCAGGAAAGGTTACTCGTAAACGTACAAACGATATCATCTCAAATGTCCAGTGGATCCGACAACAAACCTCACAAGCTTTCTATGCATTATCAGATAAATCTAGTGTTGGTTACCGGCTGTCCTTCTAGTGGACCCTAACGACGGCTAACGTTTCCATTTCTGTTGTTGGCGATTGCTTGCATTGTTTATTGTCTGCAACCCAATCACAATGGTCAACGAGAATTTTCATCCATCAGATATTTGATCCGAGTTTAGCCTGATCACATATCATTGACATAACAGATATAAAGGCTTCATTAAATTCAACGCCAAGTCGAAGATGATGAGAATATAACTGTAGAGTTGCATGTTTCAGCTTGATTCCGAAGATAGGATTAGTTTTTCAATCTAAAAGCGGCTCTTTCACTTGTCTAATGTTTGACTCGTTGCCTGTAAAATCGTTGACACTCAGCTATGTGTTTCAGTGCGTAACAATGATTAAAAAAAGTTATATTTAAATTATCAGCTAATGTTCTTTTTTTTTTTTTTTTTTTTTGATTGACTGGTGTGGCGTTGAACAGTAGAACGTCTACGTTCTGCTCTTATTATACGAGCTTGCAAATTAGTTTTGTATTTGTTTATTTTTTAAAGACCTAAAGTCATTCGATAGCCTACTGCTTACGAATATGTATATATGTTTGTGTGTGAGCGACAGGGGGAGAGAGAGAACACAGAGATAAATGAAATATATCTGTAAAGACAATATAAAGACAAAAAGAAAACTTTTCTTTACCAACGCGTTTCGTAAATTTTCCAAATTAAATAATATATACATATATATATATATATATCTTTTTAAAAATTTGAAGAAAACGGTTAACTCAGGACCTTTAAATATTTTTAAATAGATAAATACGTAGTTTACAAAAAATGCTCACATTAAAAAATAAATTAATTAAAATTCAACAATAACAACGTTTACTCACCAGCGTTTATTAAACATAATTATAATTTATCTTTCCTTACTCTATTGGCTTGAAGAACACTTTAGAACGTCCTTAAATTTAAAATTTGAAAACTTAATGATATTTGTCTCCAGTTTACTTTTGTTTATAAATGCAAGTTGCATAGTAAAATCTCTATATTGATAAAGTCCCGATAAAATCCTGATAAAGTTCTGATAAAGTCCCGATAAAACACCGATAAAGTCCCGATAAAGTTCCGATAGGATGAAACGCGTTCGTAAAGAAAATAAAAAAAAAAAAACTCTAAGGAAAAGTCGTTAACATGGCAAACTGACATAACAATGATTTTTATGAGAAGGTTGCCATGATAACGACTTTAAGAATTTTTATTTGCTTACCTAATATAGCGAGACGTTGATATTAAAATATTTTTTTTTAATAACCAACTGATTTTCACAGGTTCTATTTTTACATACCGGGTGTAACAACAAAATTGTCCAAATCGTGTAATAGCAAAATTGTCCAATTGTTAGATTAAGTTCTGAATCGTCGTATCTTAGAATTGATTAAAGATATCTTACTGGAATTCTCCGAGGATTTTATAACACTACTGGACTTTACATTGAGCAATAAGAATGTATAATTACCCTCGAAACTTAACGGAAGTATCTTGATGCAATCGATCATAAGCGAAAATTACATGTTCATCATTAATTAATCATAGCTAAGGATCAAAATAAAGCTCATGAAAGAATTGAAATAAATATATATATATATATATATATATATATATATATATATATATATTATTCCATGATTATTTTACAACTTATTCAAGATTATCTTCTCCCTTTCTAACCTTCTAACTAGGGGCTTCATAGGTTTCACGTACGATTTCATTTTCAAGTCTTTTTTCTACTACTGTTTGCACTGTCTTAGCTGAAACACATCTCTCACTTGCCAAACGTCTTATGGATTGAGTTGGATCTTTTCTAATTGATCTCTTTAGCTCTAAGTTGAAATGATGATCCTTCTTCCTGTTGTAACCTCCTGATCCAGTTTTCTTCTCTAGTGTTCCCACTTTTTAAAACTTATTCACCGTTCTCTTGATGGTTCTTGAATGAACTCTGAAGATGGAAGCCAGAGTATGAATGTTGGTACATTACTGAAGAACTGAATGATCTTTTTCCTCTCAGTATTACTCAGTTGAAAAGACATAGTGGGTCTGACACGCAAAAAAATTTAATCTGCTCTCTTTTTAGCTTAACAACTCAAAGGGTTTTTCAGTCATTCTTACGAAAAATGGTGTCAAGATGGCTAAACATCATATCTGAAAACCTGGGAAAAAGAAACTCAATTAGTTTAGCGATATTTTTTAGATATTAAACATTTTGTGGGGTGGATTATTATGCTGATACACTATATATATTATTATATTTATATATATATATATATATATATATATATATATAAGACATTTTATGTTTAACAGAAGGTTTTTTTTTATAGTTACAAGTATTTAAGTAAATGCTCTGTTTATAATAAACAGTATTAAATAACATTTACGGGCCTGAATGTCCGAGAAATTTTCATAGAAAATATTCGTCCTTTGACAGGATTCGAACCTGCATCCTATACGGAACCGTCATTGACGCTGACGTGCCTTAACCGACTCGGCCACAAAGGAGCGTTCGGTAGGCAAGGTCGAATTTACTGCTTATAAACTTCAATCTTCCATGAATCTCGTACATTCATAACTGCTCATTGTCCAATTCTTAATGTATATATATATATATGTGTGTGTGTGCGTGGGGGGGGGACAATTTTGCTGTTACACGCACATATATATATCTTATCGCAAAAATCAAAATTACTTACCTAAGTCTTCTCATTCTCTTCCACTCCCAGTAATCGGTTGCTTCTTAGTGGCTTTATCGCCTTACTTGAGGGTGAAATTATTAAAAACAAATTAATGTGGATATAATCTATTTCAGAACAGCACAACTTAATGCTGATCGTCATCAGTCTGGAATTAGGAGTTTTGAATTTATTTTAGATTGCACTCCTACTCAAAGGGGCGCCTCGTTTTTGATAAGGGGCGTGTGTTGGTGACAAGGGGAGGGCATAAAGTATCTGTTTAAGGGGAAGTGGTCTGGAGTCGGAGTTTATTTATAGCCAGAGCCTTTTAGTGTATGTAAATGAATTTTGGTTCCTACTATGGGATACTACAGTATGCAAACAACAAGTATGTTTTACAGGGATTTAAAGTAAGCAGTATTTAGACAATCAGGGTTTAATATTATTAATAAGTGATGGGGAATTTAAATATAAAACAAATAAAAGTTAAAATAAATTAGTTAAGTGATAGATTCATAAATTTTGTAATACCGAGACACCCAATGGAATAAATCATGCTGAACAACATTCATACATATACCCACACACTTGTGGACTTTTACATATATATATATATAAAGTGAACATTGAAGGCTGTTTTATGCTAGACGCAATCGTCAGGCGGCCTGACGATTGCGTCTAGCATGAAACATGATGAAACACTCTATCTCTGATATTGAGCACTTTATTCCATAAATATAGCACACCTTAAAACAATATTTCTTCATATATATATATATATATATATATATATATATATATATATATATATATATATATACACACACACACATATACACATATGTGGCATACAATTATACCATTCGGGATCGGTTAAATTATTAAGAATACTAAGCTGAACAAGGAATTCTATAAGATGAAGATATTAAGGTAAGAGTTTAATCACAGGGGACTGCATCAGTTTGGGAACTTTAGGTTTTGGGGGAGATAGTAAGTAAAGAGGTAAGATCTATATTCTTATATAAGTTTGAACCTACTCCTATATCTGCATTTCATAATTAGCTCTTTCCGTTGATTTAATAGTTTGCATTGATTATTGTATTTTATTATTCTGATTTTCTCCCCTAAACATACCTGTCTATTGGAGGTGTTAGCGAAACCAAAAAATTTTCCAATTCATCTGAGGATTCAGAATGGTGTAATTGAAATATTTTTAATTAAAATTAAAAAAAAATTAAAACAATTCTTGTAGAAATTCATTAGTCATGGAAAAAATGTTTTTCTTAAGACAATAGTGTCCTTAAAATATCTTGTTTATAAAGGCAATTAAAAATCTTTTCTAATTAAATAATGTCACAATTTTTATTTTACATTTCAGAGCAGATTTTCAGTAAATGGTGTTTCTGTTTGACAAAAACAAATTGATTATATAGATACCAAAAAACTATATCAGTTCAAAAATTTGTCGGGAGACACTAACTTTTCAATTTGTGAAGAAGAATTGTATTAAAAACCCTGTCGAAACTTTTCAAGATGTCCAAAGCAACAACCTGAGATCCACCTTTCTTATCTAGAGTTTGATAGACCCTTTTCGCAATTATCATCAGTAGATCAGCAGTTGAGCTGGAGAAACGAACGCCTGAAAAAAGGGCCCTGCGACGTGAGATGCTTAAGCAGTTCATCATTGATTAAGGCCTCGCGTCGTTTCCAAAAAATGACGTAATAATGATCGTTTTTTGACGTTAAAAAATACGTCAAAAACGACATTATTACGTCATTATTTTTGCACCAACCGAATAGGTAGAACTCCAATAGTTGGAAATGTCGGACGGTTCACCTGTGTTTATAAATACTAGAACAACAGATGACGATTTCCAACAGGTAGGGAAACAAGAGGTAGCGAGGCATTTATTATACAGTTTGTGTGTATGTGTGTGTTTGCGTGTGTGTGCGTATGTGTGTGCGTGTGATAGCAAAGAAAGATTTT